TCTTGTCCATGTAGTTTTAAAATCTTATGATAATAATTCTAGAAATTAAGCTCCTTTACTTTAATGTTTTATGGGGTCTTTTCAGTCGATCACTGACATTTTTCCTCAGCTTAAAAAATACTACATTGCCTAATATTTCATTATCTCTACATTTTCTGACCTCTCTCTTCTTCTCTCTCAGTCCTTTTCTCTCTTCTTTTTCTAGGTTTTCTGTTAGAACCTTACTAGACATTCTGGATTAATCTTTGAGTGTTTTACTCAAATAATAAATTTTAAATTTGCTTTGACTATTTACAATTAGAAATAATTTTTTTTCAAATAAGTCATTTTATAAAAATATCCTACATTTTCTCACTTTCTTAGAAGACAATTTCATTATTCTAAAGTTCTCTACTTTTCTCTGACTTATTTCTTGTTCCCCCAGAGAATGAGGCTCTATTTATTAAATGAGATTCTTCTCTTTTCTTTGTGCTGTGGGATTTTCTAAAGTTTTGGTGACATTTTGTTATTCTTTTACACTTGTGTAAAAGGTTCATTAGAAGCTTAAATGACTTTTCTTCTTCCTTACAAGCCTGACCATGAGGACTACACGCTGTCCAAATGGGACTGTCAGACAGCCAAGCCGTTTGCAAGCTGTGCATGGTGGCAGCTGCTAGCCTTGCCACACTTCCATAAATTTGGCCACTAAGGACACGATGAGCCCAAATCAACTTAGACAGTTTATTAATGTGAGTAGAGCAGACAGCTTAAACTTCATGCTGTACAGTTCCCCTGGCTTCCCAGGTCCCAGGGCTGATGGCGCATCACAGACCCACTGTGCATATAGCGGGTCTGTATCACAGCAAAGCCCCAAGGAGATTTCTTGGGATTATTATATTCAAGGATTATTTCCTTGGGATGTCAGCGAATCCTCATCAGGAATGAAAGGCAGAGGTTTTTACCTACTGTCCTGGAATATGACTGGGGAGTGAGCTATTTTCTATTTGTTCTGTTCTGGAATGTACTATTCTGTTTGTACAAATTAACTTAAGCAAATTGGCTGTTAATACTGGGAAGTGAAGAAACATGAGGGATTTATTTTTTTTTTAAATTGTCTTCCAACAAAGATGAAATCTATTTGGATTGAGAAATTCAAAACTGTGCAAATAGAAAGCATGTAGGTGATGAGCTCCCATCTCCACTACTGTACATAAATATTAGGCATTAGTAAATGCCCAATTTGAGAGCCATAATCACTTCTAGGAAGATATCTTATTGGATGCCTTGCTTCTGTTTAGTAGAGGTGGGATGTGGAGGGGTAGGAAAGAAAAGACATCAAGGCAGGAGATTGTTGAGAAAGAAGTAAAGTAATTAACCAATGAGTCCAAATTAAAGTTGAAAGAATAATACATTCAAATAATACTTCTATCTCAGCTTTCTCCCTACTGCTCTCATTAATGTGTAGACATTTATGGTGTCCATTCTGGACATTCCATTCTGGTGAAAAGGTGGGCCTATCATGGTAACGCACTACACTTTTAGTAATTTTTGTTCATCAGGAATCTCATCACTTTGTTCCTTGTGTTTCTTCCATACACATGTAATTTCATTTTCTTCTTCTTTAGGTGGGAAAGGGAATAACCAAGCGTGACAAGACTATCATGCTGAAGGAAATTTACCTTAAAAAAGTAGTGCATTATACTGAATCAAATGAAAACTGTAGGCTCTAATTGCTCCACAAATAATAGTGGTTTACTTTATATTATTGAAGTATAACTGTGAAGGTTGTGTTAATTTTTTATTTTTTTTGCTGTAAAATCTTCAAATCTGAAGGATATTTAAAATACAAAATGTAGTTGTTTTGTATGATTAGTTCAAGAGGTCTTTTTCGTAAGGTTTAATTGAAACTATTATGTTCCATCTTTACTGAAAAATCTCTTAAAGTTCCCTTTAACACTAATGGTTAACAAAATTTTTGATGAACTATCTATTAAATAGTAATTACTTGAAAGATTTCTAAAAATTTAATGAACAAAAATTATAAGGAATAGATTTAAAATATTAATACAATTTAATAGAATATTTAATACATCTTTATTACAGAGCAGCTCATTGGTCTATAATAGAGATTAACATATGAAAGTACATGTGACAATCTATTATTAATTGAATATTATTTTTATTACTACACATTCATAATTATTGCACATTCACTTGTTTTTTAGAGTTGCTCACAAACCTATTTTTATATATGCTCTCACATAGCTGAAATGATTTAAAACCAAGTCAATAAATTTTTAGTCTCAATATTTTTTCAAGTTTTTACTTTTAAAGTCATAACCATAAGCTATATGTGAAGGTATTCTTCTTTTCAAGTTTGTCTAAATCATTTCATGTGCCTGAATCCTGTGAAAATGTTAATGCGTAGTTGTGGTGGTGATGTGGTGACAGAGTGGATGGCCTTCAGGCATTAGTACTGTATAGTACAGCTTTGAACTCAGACGAGAATGAAGTTATTAAAATCTATTCCTCATGGAAAAAGGAGCCTGGAGGGCTAGAGTCCCATGGGGTTGCAAAGTGTCAGCCACGACAGAGCATGCACACAGCAGAAGCATTCCTTTTTTATTATGTATTTAACACTTTATTTTCTATATTTCAATTTAGATATGCTTTCTATTTACCATTAATATTCTGAAATTTTTTTAAGTTGAAATTTTCTGCTTTTTTGGCATTACTTGTAATTTGATTTTATTGCCACTTACGAAAGGCTTACTATTCGTTCTCCTATTTTTATATATTAAATTATCATTCCTATTTCCCACTGTGCTGTTTTCAATTTATAGCCCTTCTGTTGTTAGTAAAATAGAACTGAATGTTGCTTGAATAAAGGGTTCAATATATATCCATGTAATTTTGTGTTTAATTTCATTTGTGATCCTCTTCACCTTAAAATAAAAGCAACACATCATTAAAATTCCATAGCTTAATCTCATTATTCAGCTAATTTATTTGCTTGCATCCTTTAGTCATTAGTCAAGGGAAAAGGAAATGAGATAAATTTACAGAGCTTATTTCTAGTCATTTAAAAAAAAGGACCTGAGGTTGTCTGTAAGAAAAAATAACTACTTCAGCTTCTGCAGCAACTGGATGATGTCCCAACTAAACCCTCCCTGATGAATTGAACAATTACTTAAAAATTGTTACAGTCACTAAACAAAATAAGATGAATGGAATGGATTGAAGATGCAGTTAATGATGATTAGCAATTTTCTCAAGCAGGAATTTAACTTGTTTTTAACTCCTACGAGAAATCATTACATAAATTTTATATTTTGCTTAAAACTTAACCAACCCTATAATTCAAGATTTTTTTTTTTAAACAAGAGGGAAAGTATACAAATAAAACACTTTTGTGCCTATTAGACTTGTATGTGATGTTAAAGCAAACCGAGCATGGTAAAGGAAAGTGAAAGTCGCTCAATCCTGCCGGACACTTTGCAACCCCATGGACTATACACAGTCCATGGAATTTTCCAGGCCAGAATACTGGAGTGGGTAGCCTTTCCCTTCTCCAGGGGATCTTCCCAACCCAGGAATCAAACCCAGGTCTTCTGCATTGCTGGTGGATTCTTTATCAGCTGAGCCACAATGGAAGCCAAGTAAAATAAGCTAGTAAAAGGAAAAACAAGACAAATTATCATTTTTAAACTGAAAGTTAAAAAAAAGTACAGTATAACCAAAGATTGAAAAGAAAAAAAAAGTGGAAAGTCTATTGACTCTTTGAGACCACATTGCCAAGTACCTCTGTCCATAGAAATTCCCAAGCAAGAATGCTGGAGTGAGATGTCATTTCCTTCTCCAGGGGATCTTCCTGACCCAGGGATTGAACCTGGGTCTTCTGCTTGGCAGAAGCACTGCTTAAGCACTGAGCTACCATATTATTTAAATGTTAAAAATCTGTAAGACTTTCAGGAAATAAGGTTAAGAGTTATTTACATTCCTGGGCAAATTTTTTTTTGTAACTGAAACTGCTTAATGCAATGCAAATATATTTTATCATTTCAGAATATTGCTTATAGAAAAGTAATGTACAATTTACATCACGAATTTTGTTTGAAACTTCACTGCTATAAGCTATGGTTGGAATTCTGAATTTTCCAGAATATTCACAAGTTCAAATATTCTTCCATATTATTACTTATATTTAGCAAGTAAGCACACTATTACAAAATAATTACAAGAATTTAAGTAAAGTAATAAAATCTATTGGGATAAAAAATTTAAAAATCATAGTTAGTCTGGAGGACTAATTTAGAAAAATATGTTTTTATTTTAGATGACCACACTTTATATGGGCAACACTATTTAATCCTCCAAAGGAATAAGTGTATGTTTTAACAGATAGTAAAATCCATGACTCTTCACAGGGTATGCTTCTGAGCCTGAACAATGAAAACAAATCAGAGTCAAGAAATAAAGATGTCAGCATAAAAAGTAGAATAGAAAAAGGAACAGAGAAGAAAAGAAATCAAAGAAATATTATAATAAGTGATATCTCAATTATTAAAATTTATATCAGTTTGGTTCAGTAAACGCATGTGCATAATGTTAGAATCCAGGTGTTCAATGATAGAGAAGACTTTATTTTTACCCTGTGGGGATCTGTCAATATGAAAGATAACATATATTAGTTATCAAAATATTTTGCATTTATGTGTTTTAAGATACACTGTATTTTCTCATGAGCTTAGTTCTACCTCATTCAGCATCTTAGCACTTTTCTTTTATTTACTTATTTATTTTTTAGTGCCTTTTTGATCTTATCCTTTAAAAGCAAACATTTTGCTTAAGGTGTGTAGTTGGGAGGGTTTACCTAGTATGAAACATTGTTTTAACTGGTCTTTTTTAGCAAGAAGTTTCTCATAAAGACATACATTTGATTCCTTATTTTGTTTTACTAGTGCACACAAATAAACATTCTGTTAGGTAGTAATGGAATTATTTTTCTCTTGTTTAAACAGGCAAAGAAGGAAAGCTGAGGTCATTTGACTCTTCAGGCAATTCATCCTATAAACCTACTTAACCAAGGTGTATATCACATCCAATTTTTGTAATAGACAGCTGTTGAAATTAATTATTTGATTGTGACATCTCTTAGCTATTAATCTGTGTACACAAATATATATCTAGGCACTTAAACTATCTTAATGAATTACCCTTAAAAAAAAAAGTAGAGCAACATGTATAGATTGACCCCAGATCAATATTCAGTCAACAAACAACACTTCATTCAGACATTTCAGTACTGAGTTGATTCACATTGGAGTACTTTCTTTACCTTAAGAAATGTGTTTATTGGAAAAGAAAACTCTAAAATTTTCTGGTTGACTGAAAACATATCAGGGGCAAGAAAGAGAAAGTGTGTTCTTAAAATTTGGGGTATAATATTGCAAAATATGGATGAATCTGAAAACAAAACAGCAAATTTAAGAAACAAACAGAAAAACTGGTTGAAAATGAGGCTTTGAGAACAAGGTCTGAATTTCCTAAGAAAGAACTATTACAGTCTTGTTCTAAATTGCAGTTCAAAAAATGGGGAATCAAAATTCCCATTTGGAACTGTTTAAAAATAAATAATAAAAAAAAAAAAAAAAACTAGTTCATTTTATAGGCCAGATTTCACTTTCTATATTGCTTTTGGTCAGAGAACAAATTAAATTTACAGTCACACATTTATTTCATGTTTTTAAAGTAATCTAACATATGTTTAAACATGTTGTAAGGTATGGCTTTTTACTATTCTGTTAATTTCATTTGATTGCTGTTAAAGGACTTGTTAGTTTTCATTGCTTTATCTCCAAATTGATGACCATCTAACTATTTCTGTCTTGCTTTTAGGTAACATTTGTATATGATTTTACCTTAGTAGTCTATCATTCCAGCTGCTTAACTAAAGACAAGATTTTCTTTACTTTCTGTTGATTAAATTAAAAATAAGATGATGTTTCATTTGGAAATATTTCCAATTCTGTATCTGTATGTGTTTCAATACTCTTCACATTTCTTTTGGTTTCCATGTTTCCAGCATATTAAACAGGTCAGTAGGAAAGTATGTTGGGAAGAATACTCAACAACCAACCCAGCACATATGGTCAACATGTAATTACTATGTATGCTGCCACTTCCATTTCTGGGTATTTCCTTTTGATTCCTCTTTTCATTTATGTAATTAAAACTGCACTGAATTAAATATGCTTTTCATTAGAAGCTGATGTGCTTTTTCATTAATGTGTGTCTTAAATTGCAATAATACTATGCACTTGAAAGGTGCTTGACAGATTTTAAAGAGTTTGCATATTCATCTCCCAATTTTGATTTCCAAAATTACAACTCACATAAATAGATGTCATTATTTACTTTAAAAATAGAGTGAGACTCTGGGAGATTAGGTCATATTTTCAAGGAAGCTTGGCTGCTAATGTGCCCTGAAGTAGACACTCCAGGGTTCTTTCCTCTATAAATGGTTGTCACTATTTTAAGAGTAAAGCAATTTCAGGTTGAAATTTATTGCTGACAGACTTATATATTCAACAAGAAGTCTACCCACAAAAATAAAATACAATGAAGTTGTGCTTTCTCTCTGATGTTTTACATCTGTTTACTGATTTATTATTGCACTAGAGTGAACTAATCCAATTTTGTTGATAAGATGGGCTTCCCAGGTGGCTCAGATGGTAAAGAATAAGATAATACCAGATTTGAATCCTAGCTGGAAAATTTATTAGTAACTAGATATAATAACTTACCTCTCAAAGTTTCAGTTTCCTCTTGGTAAAGTAGGAACAGCAATTTTTTGTATTGCGATTGTTTATAAATTACAATATGTAAGTTGCCTAGCAATAACTGGCCCACATTATGTCCTCAATAAGTGGTATTAAATGCATAAGAACAGATATTACACATGATCTTAGCTAAAAGGTCGAGAAGCTATAATAAACATAAATTAGTACTATTTTTATTATTTAATGCTTAAACATATTGTAAATATTTCATTTTTTATAATTATAGTGCTAATATTATGTTTATGGGCTTCCCAGGAGGTGTGAGAGGTAAAGAACCCACCGACCAATGCAGGAGATGTAAGAGACTTGGGTTCAACCCCTGGGTTGGGAAGATTGCCTGGAGGAAGGCATGGCAACCCAATCCAGTATTCTTGCCTGGAGAACCCCATGGACAGAGGAGCCTGGCAAGCTACAGTCCACAGGTTTGCAAAGAGTTAGATATGACTGAAGGGACTCAGCACACATACAGCACACATTATATTTATACATATAGTAAAAATATGAATAGAACAGAATATTCATGTCATTTTAAATTAAAAAATAAAATCTCAGGAGGATTAGATTAGAAGTGACTATAGTAACTTCAGAAATATGCATTTGATATAAATTTGCATTTGACTTGATGGATCACAGACCTAAGTGTAAACACAAAACATTTAGAATATAGCATTGGAGAAAATGTAAAGAAGCTTGGGTATGTTAATAACATTAAGATACAATATCTAAAGCATGATTCATGAAAGAATAAATTAATAAGCTGGACTTCATTAAAATCAAACACTTGATTTGCTCTGCAAAAGACAATGTCAAAGGAATGAGATGACAGACTGCAGATTGGAAGAAAACATTTACAAAGACACATCTGATAAAGTATAAAAAGTTCTCTTAAAATCAACAGTAAAGAAGCAAACAACAAATAAGCACATGAAAAGATCCTCTACTTCATATGCTATCAGGGAATGCAAATTAAAATAACTTTGAGATACCACTACACATCTATTTGAATGCCCCAAATCTGGAACACTAAGAACAAACTTGCTGGTGAAGATGTAGAGTGATAAAGAACTCCTACTCTTTGCTGATGGGACTGCAAAACAGTGCAGCCACTTAAAAGATAATTGAAGCTTTCTGACAACACTACACATACTTTCACCATGTGATCCAGTAATCGTGCTCCTTGGTACTTACCCAAAGGAGCTGAAAAATTATGTCCACACAATACCTGCACATGGATGTTCACGGAAACTTCATCTGTAATTGCCAAAACTTGGAAGCAACCATGATAACCTTGCTGGATTGTTGTTCAGTCGCTAAGATATGTCTGACTCTGCGACCCCATGGATTGAAGTATGCCAGGTTTCACTGTCCTTCACCATCTCCCAGAGTTTGCTCAAACTCATGTCCATTGAGTCAGTGATGTTATCTAATCATCTCATCCTCTGCCACCCCCTTCTCTTGCCTTCAGTCTTTCCCCACACTAGGATCTTTTCCAGTAAGTCAGCTGTTCACATCAGGTGACCAAAGTATGATGGGAAAATAAAGCAAATTAAAACCACAGCATAAAATGACATTAAAATCAATTAATCCCTAACAAATCCTGAAGAAGCTTAAGCTTGAAGCAACAATTCAAAATATTTTAAAGGCATGAAACAATGACAACAGTAATTATTAAAAAAAGAGATTCAGAACTTTAGGGAAGTTCAGGCTCCTGTTTCTATTTCCATGCACAGAATCTTGCATATGAATTTAAAATACAAAACCAAAAAAAAAAAAAAAAATGCAAACATAAAGCACATCTGACTCTAAATGTTGACCAACTGAATAGAAATCTTTCTGAGCAGGGCTGATTGTTTGTCATTTTTGTTTGCATTTTGGTAGATGCATACAATGAAATATTGTGCAACAGTTAAACTCAATACTATAACTATATTGCATATTAAATGTATAATATTATAAATTGTTAAAATACATTGTGTATTAAAAAGAAAAATATATAAAAAGAAAAACAGCTTGGAAGAAATGGACAAATTCATAGGAAAGTACAACTTTCCAAAACTGAGCCAGGAAGAAATATAAAACCTTAACAGACCCATCACAAGCACAGAAATTGAAACTCTAATCAGAAATCTTCCAACAACAAAATCACAGGACCAGCCAGCTTCACAGCTAAATTCTACCAAAAATTTAGAAAAGAGCACCTATCCTACTCAAACTCTTCCAGAAAATTGCAGAGGAAGGTAAACTTCCAAACTCATTCTATGAGGCCACCATCACCTTAATACCAAAACCTGACAAAGATGCCACAAAAAAAGAAAACTACAGGCCAATATCACTGATAAACACAGATGCAAAAATCTTTAACAAAATTAATCCAACAACATATTAAAAGGATCATACATCATGACCAAGTGGGCTTTATCCCAGGGATGCAAGGATTCTTCAGTATCTGTAAATCAATCAATGTAATACACCACATTAACAAACTGAAAGATAAAAACCATATGATTATCTCAATAGATGCAGAGAAAGCCCTTGACAAAATTCAACATCCATTTATGATTAAAACCCTCCAGAAAGCAGGAATAGAAGTAGCATACCTCAACATAAGAAAAGCTATATATGACAAACCCTCAGCAAACATTATCCTCAATGGTGAAAAATTGAAAGCATTTCCCCTAAAGTCAGGAACAAGACAAGGGTGCCTACTCTCACCATTACTATTCAACATGGTTTTGGAAGTTTTGGCCACAGCAATCAGAGCAGAAAAAGAAATAAAAGAATCCAGATTGGAAAAGAAGAAGTAAAACTCTCACTGTTTGCAGATGACAAGATCCTCTACATAGAAAACCCTAAAGACTCCATCAGAAAGTTACTAGAGCTGATCAATGAATATAGTAAAGTTCCAGGATATAAAATTAACACACAGAAATCCCTTGCATTCCTATACATTAACAATGAGAAAACAGAAAGAGAAATTAAGGAAACAATTCCATTCAACATCGCAATGAAAATAATAAAATACTTAGGAATATACTCACCTAAAGAAACAAAAGACCTATATATAGAAAACTATAAAACACTGGTGAAAGAAATCAAAGAGGACAGAAATAGATGGAGAAATATACCATGTTCATGAATCAGAAGAATCAATATAGTGAAAATGAGTATACCACTCAAAGGAATCTATAGATTCAATGCAATCCCTATCAAGCTACCAACAGTATTTGTCAGAGAACTAGAACAAATAATTTCACAATTTGTATGGAAATACAAAAAAACTAGAATAGCCAAAGCAATTTTGAGAGAGAAGAATGGAACTAAAGGAATAAATCTGCCTGACTTCGGGTTCTACTACAAAGCCACAGTCATCAAGACAGTATGGTACTGGCACAAAGACAGAAATATAGATCAATGGAACAAAATAGAAAGCCCAGAGATAAATCCACACACCTATGGACACCTTATCTTTGACAAAGGAGGCAAGAATGTACAGTGGAGAAAAGACAATCTCGTTAACAACTGGTGCTGGAAAAACTGGTCAACCACTTGTAAAAGAATGAAACTAGAACACTTTCTAACACCATACACAAAAATAAACTCAAAATGAATTAAAGATCTAAATGTAAGACCAGGAACTATAAAACTCCTAGAGGAAAACATAGGCAAAACACTCTCCAACATAAACCACAGCAGGATCCTCTATGAGCCACCTCCCAGAATATTGTAAATAAAAGCAAAAATAAACAAATGGGACCCAATTAAAATTAAAAGCTTTTGCACAACAAAGGAAACTATAAGCAAGGTGAAAAGACAGCCTTCAGAATGGGAGAAAATAATAGCAAATGAAGCAACTGACAAAGAATTAATCTCAAAAATATACCAGCAGCTCGTGCAGCTCAATACCAGAAAAATAAACAACCCAATCAAAAAATGCACCAAAGAACTAAACAGACAGTTCTCCAAAGAAGACATACAGATGGCTAACAAACACATGAAAAGATGCTCAACATCACTTATTATCAGAGAAATGCAAATCAAAAACAAAATGAGGTACCATTTCATGCCAGTCAGAATGGCTGCTATCCAGAAGTATTTATTTATTGCTATCTACAAGCAATAAATGCTGGAGAGGGTGTGGAGAAAAGGAAACCCTCTTACACTGTTGGTGGGAGTGCAAACTAGCACAGCCACTATGGAGAACAGTGTGGAGATTCCTTAAAAAACTGGAAATAGAACTGCCATATGACCCAGTAATCCCACTACTGGGCATACACACTGAGGAAACCAGAATTGAAAGAGATACGTGTACCCCAATGTTCATCACAGCACTGTTTGTAATAGCCAG